CCTTCACCATTGAGTACATAGCCTGTCCTCATGAAATCTCTTCTGAGGGGCTGCCATCCAATCTGCCCATCTGTGCCCTTATGTCACTGAAAGAACAGATAAGGAAAATGTAGTATGTAATACAACAATTTTTTTTTGTTTTTGTTTTTCGAGAGAGGGTTTCTCTGTGTAGCCCTGGCTGTCCTGGAACTCACTCTGTAGACCAGGCTGGCCTCGAACTCAGAAATCCGCCTGCCTCTGCCTCCCAAGTGCTGGGATTAGAGGCGTGTGCCACCACCGCCTGGCTAACAAAATCTTTCAGTCTTAAAAAAATAAAGAAATTATGACAGATGCTATACCATCAACCTTGGAGACATTATATTAAGTTAAATATTCCAGTCACAAAAAGATAAACAATAGATTTCATTCACATGAGTTACCAAGTACAGTCAAATCCTGAGAAAGAGGAAACTTATTTAATGGGGAGTTGCTATTTAACAGGTATAGAATTTTTTGATGAAAAAAAATTTACATTGGCTGTGTACCACAGTAAATATATTCAATACTATTGAACAGTAATTCAAAAATGGTTAAGAGGAAAGGCTGGGAAAATAGCTCAAGTGGCAGAATGCTTGTCTAGCTTGCATGAAGCCCTGGGTTCAACTCCAGTACTGGATAAACTAGGCATGATCACATCCCTAGCATTTGAAAGGTAGAAGCAGGAAGGCCAGAAGTTCATCCTGGGCTACATGAGATCCTGTCTCAAAAACCAAAACTAAGGATGGCTGGGAAGGCAGCTCAGCAGTTAAGAGCACTGGCTATTCTTCCAGAGTATCCAGGTTCAATCCCACCCACCCCTACCATGTTGCCTTAGAAATGTCTATAAAATCAATTCCAAGGGGTCCTATGATCTTTTCTGGCCCCTGTGAGCAATGTAATAACGAGGCACATAGGCACACATGTAAACAGAACACTCACAAACTAAATTTTTTTAAAAAATTAAGTAGTAGTATTTTCTCTAAAAACAAGGCAAAACAAAAATAAGATAACACATCTTGTTATATATATTTAATAATGTTTTTACTAAATATTCATATTTATTCAAAACTATAATACTAAAATAACCTCCTTCCCTTTTAAAGAAAACAAAAGGGGTGGGGGAGAAAGAAAGAAAAGAAAAAAACCTTACGAGAATAAATCCAGAGTATAAAAGCGCATCATCACTTCCTCCTTTTACAAAATATAACTATTGTGAACGTGCAAGTTCACATGACTGGGGAGACAGCTAACTCATTCACTAACTCACTTGTTGCAAAAGTGTGAGACCTTGAGTTTAATCAAGAACACACATAAGAAGCCCAGCATGGTGGCCCATGCTTGTGAGTCCAGTACTGGGAGGTGGAGACAGGTGGATCTGTGGAGTCTGTCCAGCCTAACCAGCAAGCCCTGGGCCCAGTGACAGACCTTGTCTTAAAAACAGAGTGAATGGCTCCTTCTCCCCTGAGGAGCAACACAAACCCTACCCCTTCTGCAAGAGCCATGCACACCTACACACACCACAAAACACAAATGTATACTGCCCCTATGCACCCCTCAAAACAAGTCCATCCTCTTCTAGGCCAAGTTCACTTTTCCCTTTTCATGATTTTCAGCTAAGACACCAAACCATCCTTGATTACCTGCTGCCTCACAGCCCGCGTTCAGAATTCCCATGGTAACCATGATCAAAAACTGAGTTTATCCTCTGGCTCACGTGCTGGCTATGAGACTTATGAATGTCGAAGGCGGAACCTGTGTCTGTCTTACTTAACAACACACACTGAGTCTGACAAAGGTTGGGTCAAATTAAAGAAGGAATCAGCTCAAGTTGCAGTTTTAGGATTAAAATGGCTAAATCTTTAGAATCTGGTAAGAGATGGTCACCGTTTCTCCTTACGTTTCCAAATCCAGCAAGTTCCTGACAACACTAATTCCAGTGCAGAGCCTCGGCCTACAGACGGGACTCAAGTGAAATGTCTCCACTTGTTGCCCATTCATCCGCTTACTAGAAGCTGATTAAGTCCAAGATGAACACATGAACTAAACCAAGGACCTATTCCTAAAACATTTTCACACTAGAGAATAAACTAGAAAATGCCCTTACATTTTCCTGTTTAAAAAAAAAAAAATCTGGGCCGGGCGGTGGTGGCGCACACCTCTAATCCCAGCACTTGGGAGGCAGAGGCAGGTGGATTTCTGAGTTCGAGGCCAGCCTGGTCTACAGAGTGAGTTCCAGGACAGCCAGGGCTACACAGAGAAACCCTGTCTCAAAAAACCAAACCAAACCAAACCAAAAAAAAAAAAAAAAAAAAAAAAAATCTGGAGCTGGGCGTGGTGGCACACACCATTGATCCCAACACATAGGAGGCAGAGACAGGCAGACCTCTGCGAGTTCCAGGACAGCCTGGTCTTCTAGTCCAGGACAGCCAAAGCTGGTTACACTGAGAAACCCTGTCTCAAAAAACCAAATAAATAAATAAATAACTATCTGGGAGGTGGTTCAGCTTTATCACGGTGCTCGCTGCCTGACGACCTGAGTTCAATAATGCAAGAAAGGAGAAAACTAGCTCCTACAAGTTGTCCTCCGACTTCCACATGTGTGTAGTGGTATGTAGGCACACACCACATACACATACACACACACACACACACATACACACACACAGAGCGCACTCGCGCGCACAAACAATCAAAACTCCTATGTTTTGACCCACAGAGTCTACCACATATGTCTTTTGGGTGGGTTATGGGGAGCTTTTCAAAACAGGGTTCCTCTGTGTAGCCCTGGTTGTCCTTGAATTCACTCTGTAAATCAGGCTAGCCTCAAACTCAGAGATCCACCTGCATCTGCTAGGATTGAAGGCATGTACCACCACTTGCAGAGCCTGGCCTCTCTGTCCGTCAGCTTCCTCATTAGTAAGTTGGTATGAATCATGATTCTAGTTCTACACGGTGATGATACGTAAGAAATTATACACAGGTACTTAGCATAATATCCAGCATATAAGAAAGTCATTTGTGTTAGCAACTTAGGGCATATATATCAGTCCCAGCAAGGCTTAACACTTTTAATCATTTTTATGAGTTCAATACTTGTATGACTCACTCACATCCTTTGAAACATTATCTATGTATCATGAAACTAAGACTTCATAAACAGGAGCTCTGTTGTAATGACGTCATCTTTTCTATGCTCTGACTTTCAAAGTCTAGGGCAACAGGTATTTTTAAAGTAATAGTTAATGATTTGTATTTATTATTTTTTTAGCATTTTAAATACATATTTTGGGACAAAGTCTCCTCTTGCCAAGGCTAGAGATATATATCTTCAAGGCTGAATTGGCAATCCTAATCTTCCTGCCCCCACGCCCCAAGTGCTGGGATTACAGGTGGGATACCACACTCTGCTCATTAGTATTTTCAGTTGCTTCATATTGAACATGTGTCTAAGAGGAATCATGAATAAACAAATGTAACAGATCTCTAAAAATGACCACAAGGCATCCTTTGTCTAGGAAATGCATCACTTTGTAAATAACAAAATTTCATTTAAAAGTTTGGCTATGAGAAAGGTATACAGTTTTACTAGCAGAAGCAAAGTCTTCTATTGAAATAAGACACTAATGCAATGTCTTTGTGATCTTCAAGCGCATCAATGAAACATTCTATACAATTTTGTTGGCCAACGATTAGGTTTTGTTTTGTTTGTTGTTGTTTTGAGACAAGGTCTTACTATGTAGCTCTGTCTGGCCTGAACTATAGACCAAGATGGCCTGGATTTCACAGAGTGCTGGGATTAAGAGGCGTGGGCCACCACAGGCTGACCAACTATTAGGTAACAGGCACTAGCCTAAATATGCATGGGAAATGGAAGTATTCTTAGTCCTCATGGAGCTTAGCAGGAAAAACTCATACAAATATTGCCCTCATGTGTCACATATAAAAAGACTGTACAGCTGGACCTTGTGAGGCACAAAGGATTCTATTGCAGGAAAACCAAGCAGGTCCTGAAAGATGAGCAACATTCTTCAGGGTGATAAAGAGGAAAATAGCAATGCCTATAGAAGGGACCATAGGACTGCAAACACACAAAGCCATGGAATTGCATGGTGTGAGGAGGGCCTGCAATTCTGTGAAGCTGGAACATCCACGAATTGAAGATGGTTGAAGTTAAATTGGAAACCGCTCAGAGAGAGACAAATAGAGGCTGACTGATTGAAAAGCGTTCCACAAGTAGTTTGTACTTTATATCTTAAAAAGAAATAAAGCCGAGACGGTGACCATTGTAATCCCGTTACTAGTTTAGCCTTGAGAAAGACCCACCACTAAGGCACTCTAACTCCAGTGAGCTCCCACTGCCTAGGGTTCCTCAGTAGTGGTGCCCCAAAACTGAATAGCTGTTCAGCCCCTTCTCTCAGCTTTGGTCAGTACTGTCACCCCGCCCGCTGTGGCGATCCCGCCCTCCTGTGAGAGCCCCCGTGGTCTGACTTCAGCAGCAGTTTCCGGAAGGAGACTGGCACTCGCTGTCGCCGCGGGCGGCCTCCCTTAACGTGATCTGAGCATCCTTCTGGAGACCAACAGTCCTCGGTTTAGGGGCGGCTTCTGAGCTTGCCTCAGCTGGCGCAAAGGAAGGACCAGATTGCTGCCCCTCAAGTGCGTAAAGTGGCAAACGCTCGGGCGAGCCGCCATAGGGGCGGTCGCCAGCACCCGTGGTGACCCGGACGAGTACTGCTGGCTCTGCTGGGAGGCTTAAGCCAGCATCAGACAAACACGGTAAGCTGGGCAGTGGGCCAGAAGGTGGGGCGGCGGGCGGCTCACCGGTAAAAGGCAGAGTCCCCGAGTGGATTCCAGTTCGCAGTGTAACAGTCCATGTCTAGAACAGCTGGCGGCTAGAGACGCCGAGGAAAAACCCGCCTAGCGCAAGCTCAGGCCGCACTTCCGCTTCCGCCCGTCGGAGTCACGTGATGAGGCCGCCATAGGGGCCATCAGCACTATGGGCAAGCTATGCTCTCGGACGGTATCAGGGCTTCGCGCCCGCCCGAGTGGGCCTAGTCCTGATTCCTGTCCTCCACAGCGGCCAACCTCGCTGCCTTTCTGACTCCTACGGCGTTGGGGGTCGCATAGGGCGGGACATAGGTGACCGGAAGTGGGAGCCTTGAGCATCTCCTGAAGCGCAGATGCTGGAGGCGTTGGCTGGACCACCGCAACGCACGCATGGAGAGCGCTGGGCGTCGAGCTGCGTACCGACAGCTAACCTGGGCACCCGGGCTCTGTGGGGCAGGATCTTTACAGAACCCACCGCTCTCCAGGAGCATGGGAACTTGACTCTAGGTCAGGAACCCGCTGCGGACAAGGCGCGTAGCGCTCGGACTTGCCCTACTGGCCGGTGAATCCCTGGAGCCCCGAGACTTGGTAACTGGCGCGAGCAGATGAGTGCGCACGCGCGGGGCCGCCGTTGACACGTGTCAGAGAGCAAGGGACTCTCTGCCGGCGCGAAGCGCCCTAGTATAGGACCACGGCCAAGTGACCCTCCTCCTTTCCTCCGATTGTGATAAAGGCTGGTGCCGTCTTGGGATTCGCCTTGCCGCCCCACTCTTCTCCCTATTACTCAGAGCAGCCAGGGAGGGGCCATCGCGTATGGGTCATCTTGGAACAGACCCACCTACCTTGATTCTCTGCCCTCTATCAGCTTATTGGCCTCTCCCTGCAGCTGGTGTCAGTGGCAGCATGGTCTTCTGTTTGGAAAACGAGATGCCGCACCGCCTGCTGGGGAGCACCACGGTCCACTTCCATGCCTCGGAAGTCCAGCAGCTGCTACACAACAAGTTTGTGGTCATTTTGGGGGACTCCAGTGAGTGAACACTCTAGGATAACATTTCACAGTCCTGTATCTGCAGCCTTCCTTTTCTTTGTCTGCACACCACATCTCCATTTCAGACTTCTCCATCGCTTACTCTGTTTTAGAACACTAGACTGTGTTTTTCTTTTTTAATTTCCCTGCATACCTTCCATGGGTGCCCTGGCATATATCATTTGTGCACTGTTTTAGCCCATGCGTGTGGCATCTTTATCTGTTGTTGCCTTCCATGCTGTGAGCTATGTTGGGTGTTTCCCTAGTGACTGGACCAACTTAATTTTACCAATTGGTCTTTGGTCAGTGTATGTAAGCTAGAGGAGAAGGAAATTTCTGGAAAGAGCAGAGCCAGGGCTTTAAAACTTCATCTTTTTTTCTCTAAGTCAGCCCCTCCATAGAGCTGCTGTTGAAGAACCAAGCCCTGGGAAACAAAGGCCTTCATTTGGGAAGGTCTGGGAGAGGGTGAGGCCTACCTTAACCTTGGGATCCCTGTCTCCCTGCAGTCCAAAGAGCTGTGTATAAGGACCTGGTGCTTCTGCTCCAGAAAGACACACTGCTCACAGCTTCCCAGTTAAAAGCCAAGGTGAGAGAAACTTGGCAGCCATGCCAGTGTTGGGTGGGTGCAGACCCTGGCCTGAAAAGGACCACCTACCTGGCATGGATCTGACTGTCGGGGTGGGGGTGGGTGGGCAGGGGGAGCTGAGCTTTGAACAGGATCAGCTGGTGGCTGGGGGCCAGCTGGGAGAGCTACACAACGGGACACAGTACCGAGAGGTCCGTCAGTTCTGCTCTGGTTCTGGCCACCACCTTGTTCGCTTCTACTTCCTCACCCGTGTTTACTCCGAGTACCTTGAGGACGTCTTGGAGGAGCTGTCATATGGACCTGCCCCTGACCTAGTGATCATCAACTCCTGCCTCTGGGATCTGTCCAGGTTCAGACGAGGGGGGAGAGGGAAATACTGGTTGGAGGTGGAGGTATGGCAGCATTCCTGTACTCTTGCCCACTCTAAGTGTTACCCAACAGATATGGCCGCTGCTCAATGGAGAGCTACAGGGAGAACTTGGAACGAGTGTTTGTACGAATGGACCAGGTTTTACCAGACTCTTGTCTTCTGGTGTGGAACTTGGCAATGCCTTTGGGGGAACGTGTCACTGGGGGCTTCCTCCTTCCAGAGGTGAGTGACTAGGACCCTTCTGGACAGAGGGTAGAGTGTCTGGCTGGTAGATAGGAGACTCTCTCAGAGACTCTACTTTCTCAATTAGCTCCAGCCCCTGGCAGTCTCTCTGCGACAAGATGTGGTTGAGGGGAACTTCTACAGTGCTACTCTAGCCGGGAACCACTGTTTTGACGTCCTCGATCTCCACTTCCATTTCCGGCATGCTGTACATCACCGTCATCGAGATGGTGTCCATTGGGACCAGCATGCACACCGCCACCTCTCACACTTACTTCTGACCCATGTGGCCGATGCCTGGGGTGTGGAGCTACCGAAACATGACCGTCTCCCAGGTAAGCCCTCCCAAAGAGTGATTGGGTATTGGTGTAGATAGGACCTTCAGAGCACAAGGCACAGAGAACCAAACAGAGCAGAAGTACCTGTAGAAAGTAAGGGATCTCTTGGAGAACAGTTGTGGCTCCTGAATGTTCCTTTCTCATTTGCTGGGAATGGTTAGATCGTAGGAATCACATGGCTGTTCAACTTCCAGTTCTTCAGCTCTGTGATTCCTCCTATGGACCTGAATGAACATAAGCAAGTACTGACTGCAAAAGGCAGGGCCAAGACCCTAATCAATAGATGCATGAAAAAGAAATGAGACTGCTTCCAGGTAGTCCTAGGCACAGGAAGTGGGAAGACAGATAAGGAAAAAGGATGGTCAAGGCAGTGTCCCACAGGCAAGCTCATCAGAGAAGTGAAAGGTACAGTCAGCTAGCAGGTTGTTCAGCAGAGGCACAATGTAACCTATAGTGTCTTTGCAAGTCTCAACATGGTAGGGTTAGTAGACAACAGCTGATAGCCTCTCAGCTCCACAAAGGGTCCCAGCTCACTGGATCCAGCCTAGTGCAGTTCTCCACTGGCCCCACAGTAGTCACTGCTGTAGGTCCTGAGTCCCACTCCTTTAGCTGGTTTTGGGATACTACTCTAACTGCGTTCCTGCTGAGATGTTCTCTGCGACAGATTGTCTACTTGTTAGTCTCTTGGTCCCTGCCTGCCCACAAAGGAAACGGCATGGCTCATTTCCAACTCTACTCCCTTGCATTGGGTCAACTGATCCCTGGGCCAACACAAATCTGCTGTACTTTAGCGCCAGGAGTACAGCGTTTGCTGAATTGGAGGCATGAGTCGTCTTAGATGCTGTTTGTCGCAGCAATAGGGGGACATACAGCTTGTGGGGCCATAGAAAGGCCAGGAATAGAGGCAGACCACTGGGACTTAGTAGTAGCTAGGAGCTGAGCTGGAACATTAGGAAGGTGAACTGGGATGGATTATACACTGGTTCCATTTTCTTTGCTTTGCTCAATTAGAGAACTGGTCCTCAGTAAATAAAGGAATGTTTTAAAGGTGTAAAGGCTAGTTTGTGGTGCTTCGCAGCTTCTGATTCCATCTGAGAACTATGGCTATAGCTAGGGCTGTGGCTCAGTTGATAGGGTGCTTGAAGTTGATAGCACGCATGAAGCCATGGGTTCAGTCTCCAGAACCATATACAACCAAGAGTAGTGGTGCATGCTTGTAATTCTAGGTCTTAGAAAGTAAAAGCAGGAGGATCAGCAGTTTAAGGACATCCTTGGCTACAAAGTGAGTTTAAGGCCAGCCTGGACTATGTGAGACCTTGTCTCAGGGGAAACAAAGGAATTAAGGCTGTTTAAAAAACAAACAAAAAGCAAAACAACAACAACAACAAAACCTTGATTTGAAGTGGGAAGGAGAGCAAGCGAGTTTGATTAGGGCAGATGTGTGAGGGGCTGTGGGAATACTTGGGAGTCGTCAGGACCAGCGGAGGGAGAAGTGGAGCGTGGAAGTGTGAGCTAGGGAGGACAGCATAACTGTGCTCACTGTGGAGCGTGGGAGTGTGAGCTAGGGAGATTAGCACAGCCTTGTTAACTGTGGAGCGTGGGAGTGTGAGCTAGGGAGGACAGCACAACTGTGCTCACTGTGGAGCGTGGGAGTGTGAGCTAGGGAGGACAGCACAACCGTGCTCACTGTGGAGCATGGGAGTGTGAGCTAGGAAGGACAGCACAGCCGTGCTCACTGTGGAGCGTGGGAGTGTGAGCTAGGGAGGACAGCACAGCCATGTTCATTGTGGAGTGTGGGAGTGTGAGCTAGGAGGACAGCACAGCCTTGTTCACTGTGGAGCGTGGGAGTGTGAGCGAGGAAGGACAACACAACCATGCTCACTGTGGATTGTAGGAGTGTGAGCGAGGAAGGACAGCACAACCATGCTCACTGTGGATTGTGGGAGTGTGAGCGAGGAAGGACAGCACAGCCGTGTTCACTGTGGAGCGTGGGAGTGTGAACTAGGGAGGACAGCACAACCGTGCTCACTGTGAAGCATGGGAGAACAGACTAACGGACAGACAAAAGTAGTTGAGAATAGAAAGATGCTTTCAGGACAGGGAGTATTGTTGATGTCATGTGACTGTTGGAAAGAAGGGGTATGTAAGTTCCATATAGTAGGAAAATTATTAAAGACATGAAGGGTTTAAGAGTCAATACACAGTTGATGAGGGATTAAAATTGGGTGGGATACTCTCTGAGGTGGTTTAGAAGCAAATGAGGACTAGTTGGGAGGGGGAGGGAGTGGATATTTATATTTGATTTATTTAGTGGCCTATGGGAAGGACTTGGGAAGAAGAAAAAGCTACAGATACAGATGCTGGGCAAGAGGCATGAGGTCAGAACACAGGCAGACACGAGTACCACGGAAAAAGGAACCCAGCTTGGTCTTGGCTTGAAGTGAAAGGGGATAAGGAAGGCTGCTGTCCTTGTTCTCCAAGAGGATGGAGTGGAGCTCTGGAAGTGTGGGTAGCCAGCGTTTGGGGGCAGCCTGGCTTCCCAGGCCTGTTTAACACAGCCATCCCATTCCCAGCCCCATGGATTGAGGACTGGCCAGAGGTGGAGCATTCATTCCAGGGAAGTCATAAGCAGCCCCCAGACTTCAGGGAGAAGCTGGCCTTGCCCCTGCTCCCACCTTTCCATTTGCCTCCCCCCATGTCTTTTCCTTACCCACTTCAGCCCTCACCACCTCCCTTGTTCCCACCCCTGCCCCAGGATACCCCCTTTTCCCAAGGCCAGCCCTTTCCGCCCTATGAATTCAAATACAATGCAATGGAGGACTTCTCAATGCCAGGTAGGTGCCTAACTTAGGTAGGTGCCTCTATAAGTCTCTGCTCACACCTTTCCTAGCCTCCTTTGCACATTCTCCAACCTAGCCACCTGTGTTCATGTGAGCTCAGGAATTGATACAGCCTTTTGGGTTTAGTTACAGTAGTCCCTCAGATTGGAACAGTGTTTGTAAATTTATTCTTCTGGTCTGGTGGTAGGGAAAGTGGAATTCCCATTTTGTAGATAGGAAATTAAAGCCTAAATAAACTTACCCCAGAAGAGTAGAGCTACCCGGTCAGAAACTTACTCTGATAATGACTGGTTCTTTTGTAGGATGTGGCCCTGGAATGAACTCTGTGCCTGGCCCCCTGCCACCATCAGTCTCTGGCCCTGTCTCCCACGGTCAACACCAGGGCCCAGTGGTCCACCGGGGCAAGCCACGTTGTGTTCTGAACAACCCCTACTATGTACCAAGGATCAGGGGCCCATGCAGGCATCGACTCAGACACTCAGACAGACTGATCCACACATATAAACAAGACAGACGGGGACATGCCCACTCAGGAACATGGCCTTGGTAGGCAAGATCTTAGGTTGGGGCTAGAGATGCCAATGGCCCTGGAGGGTCTGCCTGATAACCTAGCTGTTGGGCCGGGGTGTTCTTGTCCATTGCTGATATCAATAAAAGCATGGAAGGACAGAGTGACATTTCTGTGTGAGGGAGTGGGTCTCCCAAACCATGACCCTAAGACATGGGGAAGCTGCCCTTGGCCTCTGTGCAAACTATTTAGAAATCTGTGAATAACTCTTGTAGCACAGGTCCATCTTCACAAGAACACATGCACACTAAATAAAGATCCCCAGAGGGTCCCTTGTTATCAACAGGTCTTTGGGACTGGGAAATATGAAGGACTGAGTTAAAGTGTCATTGGCAGGCATTCAGTAAGTTGTAAGTCCCTAAGTGAGAAGCTTCCAAGTTCAGGCGAGAGACCAGTTAGCACCCCATTGGGTGCAGTGTTCAGTGAGAACAGAGCAGACACTGGTGGACAGGGTGGCGGCAGAGGCACTTGTCCATGAGGGCGACAATGGTCAGAGTTGAGTAGTGAGGACCCGTTACATTTGAATTAGAGTGGAGGGAACAGAATTCTGGGTTCATTTTTGTTCCTGCTAATGAGAGAGACCTTTGAAAAGGAAAACATCCTACTGAAAAGAAAACAGAAAAACTGATCAGCAAAATGGATTTTGGTTAACAATAAGGGCATTGTTAACATAGGAGGGTGATAAGGAAGTGGTCACAGACAATGTGAGTTAATAAAACCTTTGGAGGGGACAAGAGACTTGCAGAGGCACCAACACAGTGGCCAAAACAAATGTATGAATTCTTTTCTTCTGAACAAGATTAAAAGGGGACAAAAATTAAAAGCTTTTTTTTTTTTTGGTTTGTTTCTACAGAGATAAGAATTTTGATAATTTTCCTTGCAGAAATGGATTTTTTTCTTTTCATCATCAAAAAGTCATTATTAGGGCAATCTTCTTCAGCTACAGTTTGTCCAGTCCTTTGTCACTTTCTCCATTTCCTTACAGAGACTTTTTTATCTTTGACTCTCCAGTGTTGGAGAAAACTGTACCTATATTGATTTCCAGGGAAAAAACTTGAGTTTCTAGCCTTATGGGCTGGCACTATTCTATTCTGATGGGCTGGCACTGTTCTAGTCTGATGGGCCTTCGGTGTTAGTGGCTGACCTGTCCTGCGAAGGGCCATATCACCTTCCCTCCTGAGCCTTTCTCAGCCTTTTCTACTTGTTTCTTGAATTCTGGGCTTAATTCTAGAGCTCACACTGTATAAGCAACCTTGAGATGGGTGTACTTAATACTGTGTACATACTTCCTCTGTGTTCTTAATTTCTACCCCATTTTACTCTTGACTTCCCATGCCCCAACCCTTTTAAAAATATTTTCTTTTAGCCCTTTAAAGTTTTTTGAAATAAGATAGTCTTTACACTTAAAATCTATCCTAAGAAGAGTAAGGAGATCTTATTTTGGCTGTCATATAATTGAAAAGTTTAAAAGAAAAAAAGCCTTATACATGTCATCATTTACACTCAAATTATTCCCTGGACTTTGTTTTGAGGTGTAAAAATGATTAAAGCTTAGGTTGCCCCAGTATAAAGGCCCACTATTGGCTAATCAGGACAGAACTAAATTTTCATTGTCTCTAAAATGTGATCCACCCTGCCTCGATCACAGAACCAAGATTCTTTCTTTCTTCCTTTCTTTCTTTCTTTCTTTCTTTCTTTCTTTCTTTCTTTCTTTCTTTCTTTCTTTCTTTCTTTTTTTTGGTTTAGTTTTTCAAGACAGGGTTTCTCTGTGTAGCCCTGACTGTCCTGGAACTCACTCTGTAGACCAGGCTAGCCTTGAACTCTCGAACTCAGAAATCCGCCTGCCTCTGCCTCCCAAGTGTTGGGATTAAAGGCGTGCACCACCACCGCCCGGCCAGAACTAAGATTTTCTAATGATAGGTCCAGTGTGAGTTTCTGCACATTCCAGGACGGGAGGGAAAGCAGCACAAGCCTGTGAGTCCTGTGGGAAGGGCTGCTTAAGCTGTGTGTGTGTGTGTGTGTGTGTGTGTGTTTGTGGTAGTGTGGTGCAGCACCTGTGGAGATCAGAGGACAACTTTGTGGGTCTTCACCTTTATGTGGGATCCAAGGATTGAGTCTAGGTTGTCAGGCTTGTGCAGCAAGCTCCTGTACCCACTCATCTACCTCCGTGACACAAAATTCTTTTAAGTAAAACTATTAGTTTTTCCCTACTTTGATGTAAACTGAAAGTTTTCCAATGAAAGTGGACTACTGCCTTGTTCTTGTGGAGAATGTATGGCCATCATGTTGAGGTGTATCCAGACATAAAATAGTCAAAGTATCCTTTCTCATAACAAGAAAATAGACATTCTTAAAAAAAAAACAAAAAACAAAAAAAACCTTTCTCCTAAAATCAGCCATAGGCCTAAAATCAGCAATAGGCCTGTCATACATGTATACTAACACCAAGTCTTGGGTCTCAGTGGAAAAACATCGAAACAGATGGCTATAAGCTAATGTAAACAGGCAGCTTTTGTGGAAATTTACAAGCCTGAGTAGTCATAGACCTTGTAAATAGGTAGCCTGGGCAGACAATACCAACTTAGATAAGGACAAGCGAGTCATACGCAGAGTCATAGTGACTTGTCCTCTGAACCTTCACTCAGCTGATAACCAGTTCTGATGATATCTGTATTCCTCCTGATCACCCACACTCCAGTGTCATTCCCTTCCCCACATCCTGCCTTTCTGTGTTTATAACCCCTGTGTGAATGAATTACGATTTGAGAAAAAATAAATTATAAAAAAAAACTTTCTAGGATGTGATTATCATATTTAAAGTGTACAGTTTGGTGAGTATATCTGTGAAATTAGAAATTATTTTATAGTTTCCCCCCTGTCTCCTGCCTACAGCTTCCTTATATTTCATATTAGTCCCAAGCACTTGATACTGATGTGCTTGAGTTTTATATGGATAGAATCATTTGATAAACATTCTGCTTCATCAGGCTTTTTCATTTAACCAAATGAATAGGATTTAAAATTCATTCCAGTTTCTAAATTGATGTGTGAGGTTTGTACATATAAAATATGTGTGCTGCCTGAAGTTTGGAAGCTCTCCTAACCAAAGGGCATCCATTCATCAAGACGAGATTAAGCTGTCTCCTGTGTAGTTCTTAGTTTATGCAAACAAGGATTCAGACACAGTGGGGATCATTTTGAGTCACCTTTGACTGGATCGTTTAAAATTAGAAAACAGTTGTGTAAAGTGTGTTTGGGTGCACAGGTGCTTGTGTACATGCATTTGGAGGTGAGAGGTCAACCAACAGTGGTGTCTTTCTCTGGTTTTCTTTCTTGAGATAGGGTTTCTGGGTAAACCTGGAGCTCACTGATTAGTTCACTGGCTTCTCCCCATTGCAGCTTGAGGGATCCTCTTGTATCTGCCCTTGTACCCTGCACCCCATCCCATGCTGGGACTACAGATGCATGCCACCATGCTTGGCTTATACTGGGTCCCAGAGGCCCAGACTGAAGTGCTTTCATGGTAGCACTGTACCAACTGAGCCATCTCTGAAGCCCTGTTTAATGAATATTTAAAAAGAATTGTCTGAGTTTTCACTATTAAATACATTTTAGTTTACTGTTGAGTTTTGATGACTTTACCCAGTTAAAAAATTTTCTGTCTAGACCATGAATGGATAAAAAATAGTAAAATGGGAAATGGATAGATGAGTCAGTGGTGGAGAGCACCAGTACCCATGTGTAGCTCACACCAGCTATAATTCCAGTCCCAGGAATCTGATGCCCTCTTCTGGCCTCTGGCACCAGGCACGCACGCACACACACACACACACAGGTATATATGCACACATTGGCAAAATGCCAATACACAGTAAAAATAAAACCAAAACTTTCGAGTTAAAATCAGACTAATGAAAGGAACTGAATACTTGCCCCAAAAGTCAGAAGCTATCATGTCTACTGTCACCACTTCTGTTCCGTGTCAGAGGTTGGACAGCAAGACAGCTTACTGACAGATAACAGATTATCTATGTAAAAAAATCTAACGGAAATTATTTTAAAAGGTAATCTAGTATTAAGTGAATGTACAAGTTAGTTACAGTGCACACAGGAAGACTTAGCCTCAAAGATATGTTTGTTTGGCGTCAGTAAGATAGCTCAATAGGTAAAGATGCCACCAATACTAATGACCTAAGTTCAATGTCTGGAGCCCATACAGTGATGTACATGACTGCTCCATGATACGGTTAAGGTTTTTATTATAGATATGAGAACAGCTACAAGCATCTGGAAAGAGTTCAGAGCAGAGAGAGAAGTTGACCAGCGATGGCGAGGGCTAGGGAAGTGGGAGACAGGGAAGGAATAGGGGGACTTTGAAGTGTATAAGTAGGGACTAACAGTGTGGAGACTGGCACGGGCTTTGATATGCAGCCACAGAAGCATGTCAGTGGAGCCGTATGTCCTTTTGCCAGAGGTAACGGAAATGATTCCTTTCGGTAGACAGGATCCCTCTGTGAGCATGCATGAAGGCATAACACCTGTACACACAAAGGATAACATTTTTAAAATGTAAACACAAGTTAGTAGAGGATAGACTTAAAAAGTGGAGAAATCACTGCAGAGCCATCTGAAGAAAATGCATTACAATTTGTAATTTGTACCACATAAATATTAGCTGGAAATAGCTCATAACCCAAAATGTAAGACTTTAAATGACAAATCTAGAGGGAAATAGTTGGAAGCCTATTATTGGACAAAGATATTCTAGATTTAACACCAACAGCATAATATATATAAAAAAAATTTTTTTTTTGAGACAGGGTTTCTTTATGTAGTCCTACCTGTTCTGAGGGCTGGGATTAAAGGCTTGTGCCCCCATGTCAGGCCCGTAAAATAACAGTTTGATATGCTGTTGACAGTACTGTGTGGTCCAGAGAATGATCTGTGAGAGTTTATTAACTATAGAGGCAAGTGAAAATAAAAGAATAAGTATTGAGCTAGGGAGGTGCTCAGTGGTTAAGAGTACTGTCTGTTCCTCCAGAGATTCTGCAGTTCCTAGGACACACAGGGTGGCTCGTTCTGACTCCAACTCCGAGGGTTCTCATGCCC